AGGGCGCAACGCGAATCATACCCCCTGATTAAAACATCACTTAATTTCTTGCGGCGATGTCTCCAATGTTGTACAACACCTTCTCAAATATTGATATTGACAGTGTCTTTGTGATCAAATCACCTTCACCAAGATGTTGCATCTTTGAACTCATCTTGATATATCATTTTCTGACTTCATGAATATGACGAGGCTTTGAACTTAGCTGAATTTAAATATCATTCTATTCGTCATGACTCGTTGTTGCAAGTAAATTTCTCATTCAACTTGTTCACATCAATAATAATCTTGTGGACACTTTCATTTGCACTTGATTATCTTCGTACATTGTGGTTGGTAAATTCTTTTTTTTCAAAGAAAAATCACATATTTCCTGAATATGGTGCGTCAAATCTCAACCAGACACACTCTCGACTTTCTTCATGAAAGAATTTTATTTCTGCATGGTTTCAAGAAGTGATCATCTATATTTGCTTCATTGATAGCCAAATATTATTGTGCCTCCACATGCAAACAAATAGTGTGCTTGATATCTAGCTTTATGCGGATCGGATAAATATTTTTCATCTGCATAACCCAATCAATTCTGCCTTGGATTCTTCGGAATAGAATAAACCCATAACTATGATCTTGTGTGTGCTCAACACAATTTCAATGTCCTTTTGTTGGGAAGGAACCGAATCTTGCTAGTAAATTTTTTTTTCTTCATAAAAATTCAAGGACAGTTAGGGTCATTTTTTTTGTACCATTTTCTTCCTTAATTATTTCAATCCATATTAGGATTCTTGAAACTTTATTGAAAAAGTTTCCTTCAAACTTTTATATATCTTCAGACCCCCTCGATTGCTTCAAAGATTTTCATATAACCTTCATTCTGTAGCTAGACATGACAATTATTCATTATATGCATTCAAGTTTTTCATATGAAGTTAGATCAAAACAAACCTAATTGCATCCACCATAGGAGAAAACATCCCAATAATGCCAGAATTTTTGCGACAAACATATATACCTCAAGGCACAAGCCGCACTTGATATCTTGCGTTTTACTTTCACAAAATAATTTATTTGTACACCCACAGACATTATACCTTGATTTATGGACTATCAGTCCAAAACATCACTTTTCTAAGTGAAAAAAATATACTTGAATTATGCATTTTACTTGGCCAATCATTTTTCTATCTATACTCTATGACAAAATTGAATTCAAGATCCTCGTCACAATTTATTTCATTGAGTGCTACCTCATATCAAAGATACCGTCGATGGTTATTTGATATCGATTCCAACATGACATAACATATTTAGATCTCTTCATTTTCGATCATTTTAAAGTAATTGAACCTTTTCCAAGATTTTTATGAAGTGTTATGTCGTGGTGTTCTCATGTAACACTTGCCTCATTATCATTACCATATCGATCATTTTCTCCTTTCCTTCTTCAAGGAATTTTATATTTGGAACCGACTGGTCTATTACGCTTTCGGCGTATCATAGACTCTGTCCTTCAAGGACTTCTCATTGGAGCATTTGCAGCTGAATTATATAATAGGGTCAGTACATTCATCCGGCAATTGATTTGCAACATTATGCAAATGAATTATCACTTGAACTTCAAGTTCACATATCTATTTAACGAGAATCTAGATAATTCATAATTAACATCAAATAATTTTCAGCTGTCAATAATCTCCCCCTTAACGTTAGAAAATCTAACATTCATCCCAACCTTATTTGGAAATTAATCTTTGTGCATGGTGAAAAATTAAAATAATAACCACACATTCAAGATTTTAGATGAAAATTATTTGGTTCCTGATGCTGAACTAATTTTAATGGAGAAATCTTGTAAGCTTGATGCATACATGTGTTGCTACATATTATATAAAAATTATTTCATACCAAATCTTATTTGGGAGTTTTGTTCTCATAACCATTATTTAACTATAATTGAAGGCATACAATTTATGTTAAATCAACCAACATTATCAATATAATTTCATAGTTTTAATCTATGCTCTTAATTTAAAAATTCAAGCACAATCTTACAAACACCAATTTGTAAATTGACAACAAAGCACATGTGACCATCACATAGATGCATCTATCATATAGTTGCAAATTCACATGGCAGATGAATGTGCCCATATTCACCTTTTTATATGTTTCAAAATATTTTCCCAACCCTAGCTAGTATAATAATTATTTTATCAAGATAACAAGCAACACGAGAGAATTCTTAAAGAATCTTGTATTTCTTCATCATATAAGCCACATGAATTTTCAATTAAATTTGCATCACATTCAAATCAGAATGGTCAACCGGTCATGCCAACTGATCATTATTTCAGTACACTCATATTTTATTTTTGCATGTGATTTTATTGGCATATTCATGTTTGTGTGCAACAAACAAGAGGAAAAGTGCAGTAATGTTTTACATAAATATTTATAACCATTTCGATTGCAGTAATCTTTTCATAATTCATAGTGTTAATATTTAATTTTTCAATTCATTTGAAACTTAAAAGTTTCTTTTGAGATTTACTACAACCCTATTATTATTCATCTCGTAATAATGCAACTCATTAGAACTTGCAATTAATTTTTTGAGCTATCACATATTCCATGACACCATCCATATGGTGAACATCTCCTCAAGGAGAAATTATATTATTATTGTCATGTTCAAAATTATTACGAGCAAGACATGTTTCTTGTTTTACTTTTGTTATACCATCGGTACATAACCAATGACAAATTTGTATTGCCACACAATAATATTATTTTGGTTATGACACAACCTTTATAGGCAAGACTTCTTATTTATTTTGCCCTATTGGTATTTCACAAATAAACATGTCATAATATTTATGACGTATAAACGTACACACCCATTGACCATTTCTGGCAAATACAAATTTATTTATTCTTCACAAACCTCTCGTAGAGATGAGTTGTGACATATATAATTTTTTTTCATACCTCCCATAGAGGTGAGTTGTGGCATATATCCAACCCATAATGATTTTATCACAGCTTAACCGATTCTCTTATAGGATGGTCGATCATTCACGATACTCATCACAAGTCACATTCCCTTCAAAGAATGGACTAATCATTTATATGTACTTCATAAATATGCATTATAAGCACATTTTCATGGCTTTAAAATTCATCATATTTTCCTGACACACCTCAAGCTCACTTTGAAAAATCAAGTGTACTATCACTTGATCTTCTTGTCTTTTGATGGAGAATTTATATGCTTGTCAAATTATTGGGTCGAAAACATTCACAAATCCAATGACCTTTCATACCATTTTGATAATTAAAAAAATTGTCTTCACATTTCGAAGGACTATTTTGAGAAAACACATTGTTCTTCCTTTTATAATTACCATAATGATGACTATTATAATTCTATTCCTTAACGTCTTTTTTCATATTGTTAATCATTTGTCATCTTTCAGACTAATTATTTACTGCTACCACATTCATACAATATAATGGAGCAAGTCAACATGCGGATTTCAAAGTTATCATAAGTTGCTAACACATTCTTTTCAAGGAATGGAACAAATTCAATGAGACGAATTTCAAGATTTCTCATAAAAAATATATTATTTTGCCTAAATCATCATTTTCTCATCACTATAGTGCATTGAGACACAAACTCGATGTCCATATAATGTGTGTTAAACCATAATTCTATAAGTTTTAAACCCAATACATTATCATCAGGTACATCAAAATTCAATTTGATGCCTTACCCTTTTGGTGCGATAAAATTTGAATCTATCGTCTTATCCTCAAACAACTTTCATTATGTGCATCTGGACTTAACTTGATGTCTTACTCTTTTGGTGCGATGAGACTTGAATCCATCGTCTTATCGTTCAATTAATGTAATAAAACTCAAAAACTCAGCCATAAGCCTTTAAAAGAATATCAAGAATTATAGAAGCAAATTTAGTCAAAAGAAGACTGAGAATTTTCTCACCTCTAGTAATTATAAATATTAACGAGTTCCTCATAATTAACACTAAGAAAATCAGCATAAAAATTTATTTCTTTATCCTTCAATTCTTTTCTGAAACGAAGAACTGTTCGTATATTCATAAACCAATGTATTAAATTGTTAAAGTAAAACAAACCAATATGTTCTACCTTTTCAAATATCACATATATTCTAAAATAAATTATTAGTATAACAGGAAATTTCGAAAATATAAATGTGTAACAAGAAAAATAAATATATTCTATTCCTACTCACAATTGTTTCAACTACAAAACTTTTGCATAGTGCTACAACTTTTAAAACATATTCGTACTGATAACGTGTAATAAAATCAAGTTCATGACAATATAAATATAAAAAGAAGAAGACAAGACATAGAAATGAAGAAGAAATTTTTTCTTCTATTTAAGTGTGTCTTTCAAATGGTGAGTGATATCTGTTGACTCCCAATTTTGTCCCGCCTCGATGGATTAACTAGCAAGCTTCTCGAGTTTAAACAATTGAAAATAATTAATTTTATAAATTAGTATATATCTATATATGTATATATACATATATATATATATATATATATATATATATATATATATATATATATATTTATATTTATATATATATAAAGCAATAGTAATAAATAAATTTATATTGCGAGTTATTTAAATAAGATTTGATGTTGTCTATATTGTTTTAGCTAGCGTGTTGTTTTACATACTTATTCATATAAATTATTTAAATTTTATGAATATTTAAAATCAGAAAAAATATAATAATTATAATAGCATTTTGTTTACAAATATTTGTTTAAGTATTTTAGCTTATATTTTGAAATATTAGTTTATATTCAAATTAATTATTTTATTTTATTAACCTTAAGAAGCTTGTTAATTTTATGTTAATTCGTCTTTTCTAATCAAATTGACCAACTACAATTTATTTCGACTATATGGTAACATTATTAACTATAGACAAAGTTTTGGGCCCCTTTTGAATTTTTGGTCAACCCGAAACTCTTTTTGTTTTGCTCTCCCAAATTTCCGGTCGCCCAAATTTCCTGCTATCAAGTAAATCGATCCAAGCCCTCTAATTTCCAGCGACGGCCCATGGCGTCTCCAAGCGGGATTTCCCTCAAGCACGTCGAATCCAACGTCATGAGAAACGCGAGGAACCAAACGCTCCTCAACGACTCTTTTCTCTCTTCAGTGGTGCAACTCTCTCACCAACTGTATCTCTGCGAATTTGTCCTGGCAGCAGAAGCGTTTTCATCCTCATAGGCGTGAGATGATGCCACATCAAGAAAGAAGGAAGAATCGTCGATCCCGACCGTCCACTTTGTTGTCCTCAGCCGGATTTACAGGGATAAGGACGAATTTCATACAGGGGCAACTCTTTGTTTTCTTTAAGGAAGAATGACTTCAAAATTTTAAAAGAAAGAGGTGAGTATCAGTTTTTACCCTCCATTTTCTAATCCTCTTCGAATTTCGAAAACCCCAATGTCCCCTATAAATATCTTCCTTCCTTCATTTGTTTGGGATTGGTGATTTTAGACGGAGATAAATTTTTAGAGGAGCTTTGGAGATTTTTTCTTAGCAGCCGCAACTCATATATAAAGATATACCTTAAACAAAAAAAAGTTTTTTTTTAGCAAGAATGTTTTACTTCTGATCGAAGGTTTTTTTTTTGGTAAAAAGTTCATGTGTCAGAGAAATATATAGAGCTAACCAAGTGTAGAACAATAGAGTCGAGTTTATTTCGGGTTCGTTTCTTTGGAATTGAGGTTGTTGTCCGTTCCTGCCCCGTCTAACTCTCGGTTTCGCTGCTCGGGAAGAGGTAAACCCTACACTAGTTTGTTTATGTCGTAACTCCCTTTGTTGTTGTTTTATTTGCTGTTCAATCGTTCTCTGTTTCTTGTGTTCATAAGCCGAGCTTTGTTTAGATATTTGAGTAGTGGTTCCTATCTCTATTGTTTCTTTTCGTTCATGTTTCATTTTAAATGACCTGGCCTTCTTGATGTTTCATTCTGTATTCCGTCAACCTCGTTATGTGGTTGTGATGCGTTTAGTTTCTGTCTTTGACAAAAGGAGTAATCATGTCTCCATTATGTGTTTTAGAAACTAAGTGCTTGGGATACTGTTCATATGGCCTTTCTGGCAAATATAGGCTGATTATTGTTTTAAATATATCTCTCTTTAGATTAGGAATGGATTAAGGAGTATATTTTTTTTCTCTTTTCTTATTTTATTAAGAGCAATTGCAGTCTGTTTTTTTCCCTTCCTTTCTTATATGTATGTATCTGTTCATGATGTTCATAGAACATTCGGAAGGTGTTGATCAATTCCCTTAAAGATCAAGTGCTTCCAAGGTCAATAGATGACACTTAAGTTTCATATTTCTTGTATGCTTTATCATGAACAGAAAGTAGTAATTTAGATAACTTAGTATTTTATTTATTTTAAGTAGAGCTTTAAAAGTTGTATGCTCCCTTAATTTGTTTACAGAGATTGTAGTTTACTTTTTACATATTCACAGTATTATAAGTTTTAGGCTGGTAAAAAATGTTTGTATGTCTCACTCATCTGGAACAAGTCCTACAAGCCTGCCATTTTTACTTCTTTATTTGTGTTTCTACCTTTTTATTTTTGTTTATTTATTGTCTTATTTCACTTATATTCTTCGGCTAATATAGTCATTTTATGTTGTGTATGTGAAACTCCCTCTGAGCCCATTTGGGTTCCATTTCCATGTTGGGCTATTGCCCAAGTTCCAGCCAAAGGCCCATGGCCTAATCCTACTTTGAAAAGGATTGAAATTATTCTCTTTATTTGGTTTTCAATTCTATGAGGAAAAGGATTGGAATAGTAATTCTATTTGTAGTTGGTTTTGACTTTGTAAGGAAAAACACAACTCTATAAATAGAGGATTGTATTGAGAGAATAATTAATTGTTCAATTGTATTGTCTTTGAAAGACACTAGAACATAAGAGAGGTTTTTGAGAGAACTTTCAACAAGAGAAAAAGAGAGAAAGAAAAGGGTTCTTTTGTTGCAGTCTTTTCTCCGACTAGTCACGTTCAGATTGTGTTTCCCGATTAACTAACCGTTGGATCGGGCTGAAATTTGGATTGAGTGTCAAAAAACATCTTGGTGGTTGATTTGAACGGTGGAGATCGGATTCGTAGGTTAGAAAGATCCTGTTTTAGGTCCTGAACAGAAGCTGGGTTTGGGTGGTGTTTCTTTCTATTTATATTTTGTTGGCGTAGCTATTGTTTGTTCTCTTTTGGCACTTGTTGTGTAGCCACTAGAAGAATATTTGTAACCCTCTTATTATTATAGTGAAGCAATTCGGATCTTGTTGATTCCGTGGTATTTACCTTTAGTTTGAAGGGGTTTTCCACGTTAAACTTGATGTTCTTTGTTGTTAGATTTTTGGTTTCATTTTTTCGTCACAACAACTGGTATCAGATCTAAGGTTATCTATATGGAGGGGAATATGAGCAAAATGGTATGTCTAAATGGAAGAAACTACAATTTATGGAAAAGCTCGTGAAGAAGATGCATCTTTCGGTTTTTTCTGCTCATAAACCCGAGAATGTGACCGATGGAAATTGGGAATTTGAGTACCAACAAGTATGTGGATATATAAGACAGTGGGTTGAAGATAATGTTCGCAACCATATTGTGAATGAGACACATGCTAGAACATTGTGGGAAAAAGTTGGAGACGCTTTACGCTTAAAAAACTGACAATAACAAGTTGTTCTTGTTAAAGCAATTGATGACCTTTAAATACAAGGAGGGAAATCCTATTCTTGATCATATAAATGATTTTCAGGGTATTCTTGATCAGCTATCAGGAATGGGTGTTAATTTTGATGATGAAATACAAGGACTTTGACTTCTTAATTCTTTAACAAATTCTGCCACTGGTGGAAAAGTTAACTATGGAATATGCAAAGAGTGGTGTGTTGAATGAAGAGGTTAGAAGAAAATCTCAAGACACATCTTCACATTCAGATGTTCTATATACAGAAGATCGAGGGAGACATAAGACAAGAGATCCGAGGAGTAGAGGTAAAAGTAGAAGCAAGTCAAAATTCAAGAATCCAAATATTACATGTTATCATTGTGGAAATAAAGGACATATTAAAAGATTCTGTAAACAATTGAAGCAAGATCTTATAGAAGGGAAGAAGAAAGAAAACAATTAAAATAATGTTGTTGCTGTTGTCCATGATGACCTTCTCTTCGCTTGTGATAAAGACGTCATCAATTTTGTATCTCAAGATACAAGTTGGATAGTAGTCTGGAGCCACATCACATGTCACACCAAGAAAAGACTTCTTTTCATCTTATACTTCTGTTAACTCTGAGGTGTGAAAGATGGGTAATGCTGGTGAAGTTAAGGTGTTTGGTGTTGACACTGTTTGTTTGAAAACCAATATTGGTTCAACGTTTGTCCTTCAAAATGTCAAGCATGCTCCAGACATTCCAATAAATTTGATCTCTGTAGGACAACTAGATGCTGATGACTATCATAATGACTTGTGCAATGGCCAATGGAAGCTCACCAAAGGCTCATTGATTTTAGCTCGAGGAAGAAAACATTCAAATTTATACGTGACACAAGGATCGATTCTTGGTGACTCTATAAATTTGGTGGAGAGCGAGACTTTATCAGAATTGTGGCACAAGAGGCTTAGTCATATGAGCGAGAGGGGGATCACCTGTTTGGCTAAGAAGAATTTGCTTGCTGGTATGAAACAAGCAAAGGTGAAAAAATGTGTCCCTTGCTTAGCAGGGAAATAGAAAAGAGTTTCTTTTCACAGTCATCCTCCTTCAAGAAAGTCTGAGCTATTGGAGCTAGTACACTCAGATTTGTGTGGTCCTTTCAAAGTGAAGTCAAAAGTTGGTGCACTTTACTTTGTTACTTTCATTGATTATCATTCTCGCAAGATTTGGGTATATCCTTTAAAATCCAAAGATCAAGTGCTTGATGTGTTTAAACAGTTTCAAGCCTTCTCTGAGAGACAAACGAGAAAAAAATTAAAATGTATTCGCATTGATAATGGAGGTGAGTATATTGGTCCCTTTGATAACTACTGCAAATTGCAAGGAATTCGTCATTAGAAGACTCCTCCAAAGACTACTCAATTAAATGGTTTGACAGAGAGGATGAACAGAACTTTAGTTGATAGAGTTAGATGTGTGCTTTCAGAGGCTAAACTTCCAAATTCTTTTTGGGCTGAAGCACTTAACACTGTTGCTTATGTTATCAATTTGTCTCCTGTTATTGCTTTGGATGGTGATGTTCCAACAGAGTTTGGTTTGATAAGGATGTTTCTTATGATCACTTGAAAGTGTTTGGGTGTAAAGCTTGTGTGCATGTTCCAAAAGATGAGAGGTCGAAATTGGATGTTAAAACTAAGCAATTTATCTTTATTGGTTATGGTCAAGATGAGTTTGGATATCGCTTTTATGATCCAATTGATAAGAAACTCATTAGAAGTCGTGATGTTGTGTTCTTTGATGATCAAACTATTGAAGATATTTACAAAACTGAGAAAGTAGATTCTCATACTGATGAGAGCTTAGTTGATGTTGATCCAATTCCTATTATTGACACATCTTTTGCAAATGAGGGAACCCAAGGTAATGATCAAGATAATGATGAGAGTGTAGAACATATATTTGTTCCTACTGATGATGTTGTGGTTGATAATCAACTAACTCATGTTGGGATGACCGCTTCGGATGCTCCAGAAACCTTTTGTAGAAGATCTACTAGAGAGTAGCGAAGCTCAAGACGTTATTCTCATGATGAGTATATTCTATTGACTAATATAGGAGAACCTGAAGGTTATGATGAAGTCATGTTAGATACTCATAGAGATAAGTGGAAAGAACTCATCGTAGACGATCATGAGTTTTGTAGAAGTGTGGCAGACAGGAAGCCTGTCAAGAGATCCTCCACTTGAAGTCCATTTGGCCCCTTGGCTAGAGGGGGAGTTTGTTGGGCTATTGCCCAAAGTACAGCCAAAGGCCCATGGCCTAATCCTACTTGGAAAAGGATTGGAATTATTCTCTTTATTTTGGTTTCCAATTCTATTAGGAAAAGGATTGGAATAGTAATCCTATTTGTAGTTGGTTTTGACTTAGTAAGGAAAAACATAACTCTACAAATAGAGGATTGTACTGACAGAATAATTAATTGCTCATTGGTATTGTCTTTGAAAGACATTAGAACATAAGAGGTTTTTGAGAGAACTTTCAACAAGAGAAAGAGAGAGAAAGAAAAGGGTTCTTTTGCTGTAGTCTTTTCTCCGACTAGTCACGTTTTGATCGTGTTTCCCCATTAACTAACCGTTAGATCGGGCTGAAATTTGGACTGAGTGTCCCTGACATCCCGGTGGTTGATTTGAACGGTGGAGATCGGATTCGGAGGTCAGAAAGATCTTGTTTTAGGTCCCGAGCAGAAGCTGAGTTTGGGTGGTGTTTCTTTCTATTTATCTTTTGTTGGTGTAGCTATTGTTTGTTCTCTTTTGGCACTTGTTGTGTAGCCATTAGAAGAATATTTGCAACCCTGTTATTGTTATAGTGAAGCAATTCGGATTTTGTCGATCCCGTGGTGTTAACCTTTGGTTTGAAGGGTTTTTCTACATTAAACTTGGTGTTCTTTATTGTTAGATTTTCGGTTTCATCTTTTCATCACAATATTTCACTCCGTGCTCTTTTCTGGTTTAGCCACGAAGGCTCAAGCCACGTGTTTTCGATTCAACCCGCATAAAAGGCGAACAGTTTTGAAGTTGAAGAATCTGAAGCAAGTCGGGAGATTTTAAAAGGTTAGGGCAAATAGCCTATAATTTATTTTTAAATTGTTGTTTCTATTTATTTTGGGCCTAAGACTTGTAATTTTTATTTATTATTTTGCTAGATTTAGGTACAGGTACAATGGGCCTAAGACCTAATAAAGAAGTGGGTTGAAGGCCTAAAAATATAAATGGGTCAAAAGCCCAAACAGGTGGGTCCAAAATTTCGATCAAAGCGGACAAAAACCCAATTTGGACCCAAATCTCTCTCCCTCTTTCTTACTTTGAATGCTTTAATTATTGTATAATTTACATAAATCCCATAGTGTAAGATCTTAATTACCTTCTATCCCTATTATTTTTCTAATTACATAAATCCCATGTTTTTTAAGTATTTTTGATACACAATAAAGGATCAGGATTATTGTTGATACATTTTATATCAATCTGTTGCACCTGTTAAGGAAAAAAAATTGAAAAATCAAATTTACGATCTTATCCATCTGTTACACTAATGAAGGGGAGAAAAGTTGAAAATAATATAAGCCCCATAAATTGCGTTATTTCCTTCCATATTGTCAAGAATTCAATCATATAGTGTAACTATCCAAAAAAATCAAAAATTAAATTTTTTCTTGTTCATCGTTTTCTCTGTTTCATAAAAAATTTTGTTAAAATTTTGGATAAGCAGGGTGAGTTATGAAGGATACAAAAGTGATGAAATTGTTTTTGGACAAACAATTTCTTTTGTGAATCTTCAAGTTCATCGAATATCCTTTCGATTTTGATACAAGATTGCCGAAAAGTTTGAGATTCAAAATTCATCTCCAGTTCATTCAAGATCCTTTCAAATTTTTATTCATAATATCGAAAAATTTGAGGAGACACATCATGAAGATCCTTCCAAAATCAAGAGAAAATAAGTTGTAAAGATATTTAATTAGAAGGTTTGTCCATAATTGAGGGAATTGGCAAAAAGAACGTCCGTGTCTTTTAAAGTTAAAGCATGAAAAACCTCTATTTAGTTACTTTGTTTCCTGTTAAGAAATTTTGAAAAGAACCTATGTAGCAAAAAACTCTTATTTTTGCTGTAGACTTTGTTTTCTCAGTTTGTAGTCATTGGAAATAATTATTTCTTGACCATCTTTCTATTGATTCTTTATTCTTATATTTCACTTTCTTTGTACTGATTCAAATAAGTGTCTTATTTTTACTTGATACATTAAATAAGAAAGTGTTGTTCATAAGATTTTAGAGTTGAGATCGATACATTATTGTTTGGTAATTGTTATGTATCATATACATTTAGTATAAATTCAAATTTATATATCAAAGCTAAAAAATTAGTACATGATACATTATTATTTATGTATTTTATTTTGTTTGAGAAATTTTATAATTTAAAATTTAAAAAAATACATTATACATGTATTTGTATCAAATTAGCTTACCTTTTTGTGTGTGATACATAACACAAATTTTATGTATGAAGTACATTTATATTGAACATGATAAACACTAATTGAAGATTCAACAATATTAGAGTTATGTATCTACCTTATATATGAACATGATACATTGCATACAACAAAGATTATTGTAGCACTGTATCAAATCAATGATAGCACTAACAAAGACTAATTTAAGACTCTAAATAAATGAGATACATTAAAAATGTGTATGGTTGACAGTGATGGCGTGCAATGACAGATTCAACATTTTATTTTTTTGGACGTTTTTAATTGTAGATACATTAAAAGAAAATAAATATATCAAGAAAAAATTTCAATGACGATATGATTAACTAAAATTACAAAGGTTCAATAAGATTTCAATGGGATCAAGGGGAGGAGATAATTTTGTTTTTATTTTTTAAGATGAAAAGCAAAAAAATAATAATAAAAAGAAAAAATTTCAATGACGATATGATTAACTAAAATTACAAAGCTTCAATAAGATTTCAATGGGATCAAGGGGAGGAGATAATTTTGTTTTTATTTTTTAAGATGAAAAGCAAAAAAATAATAATAAAAAAAATCGGAGATTGAAGAGATGGAAAGAAATCTACATATTGAATAATTTGAAATTATTAATTGGAAATAAAAAGATTTAAAATTCAAAAATATATTAATTGATGTAATTATAGAGAGATTTGTGGCATGAAAAAAGGCAAGAAAATCATGGGTATGAGATTTCAAGTTAATGTATCAGGAAAAGGAGATGCTCAAAGAAAAAGAAGGGATTTTTGATATTTTTTGAAATAATAGGGAAAATAAGAAAATATGATAACAAATGATGTGTAATTAAGAAATTTTTCCTTAATTATTTGTCTGTCTATTTTTCGTTAGCTTAAAAGTTAGAAAACTTCAAATCCCCCACAAAACGCCATTTTGGTTTTAACGACTCGATCTTAATAAAGTAAATGACTTAAAAGATTTTACAAATTGAAATTTACTTAGCTAAATAATTTTTCACTTTCAAATTAATCTTTCAATGATTTTTGCATTCATTTTCAAACAATTCTAATATTTTATCGCAATTTTAAGTTTAGCCAAACAAAGTCAGTTGTCGGATAACCGCATTAAGCGGAATACTTTAGGTGCCTAACACCTTCCTAAGATATAAATAGGAATCCCTGACCTCCCTAAAGGTTTTCAGTCGATTTTTCTATTTAAGTATTTTGAAAACTAAGTTTTCTTAATTTTTCTAGAAATTCAGTGAAGATTCTCAAAAAGTCAAAAACTCTTCGAAACAAATATTTTTTCGATTTTGAATAAAATAGAAATGACGACTCTGCTGGGGATTTGGAGGATTCTAACCTTAATACTAATATTATTTGACTATAATTGCTTATTTTTATACTTTATTATTATAATTATAGCATTTTTTCATGTCATATTTGCGCCAAATGGAAAGTAGTTTGCATTAGAAAATGGAAGTTATGTGGCTATCCAAGGATTCTTTCAGAAATACACAAAAAATTCATTTGAGAGTATCAAACAAATAGTTAGAATGCAGTCATCAAACGTTTTTTGGTAGCTTCACCCCGATGTTTGTCCGACTCGGGTAACCGTCAACTTGAAACCTATTTTAGTATGTCTGAGCTAGAGCGAAACCAAGACAAAAAATTAAGCATTAGCCTAAGAAAGCTTAATACACAAGGTGTATTAAATCCATTTAGTAGAAAATCGCCAAAAATCGTGTCTAAGGTCTCCTACCTAACGACACATCATTTTATTTGACATTTGAATATATACGTGTGAAAACCAATTTGGGGTGGATAAACCTAACTAGTTTCTGTTTTGTAGATATGGATCATTTGCCAAAGTTTGACATGGTCATACCAGCGCCACCTCAACTCACTATGTGGTATAATAATATCGACGAGGATCATAGAAGAACTCTCAACAAATACGTGGGTGCATTGACAGAATTGATCAACATGAATGGTTTACCAAAATTTGTTGAGGTCCTCACGAGATATTGGGATAGCCAACGAATGTTGTTATGATTTGGAATCGCTGAAATTACCCCTACTTTGGAGGAGATCAGAGACTTTATAGACACAGTAGGTACTAGGATAGAAATAAAGGCAAGAAAACAAGAAGACATTTTCATCCCTAATAAGCCTTCCGTAGAAGATATTGCGGACTAGCTCAGGTTGGAGAAAGACTTTGCCTATTAGTGCCAAGAATCCCACATAGCATTCACAGATCTTTATATCAGATTTGGACATCCGAGTTTCTACTCCACTTACAACCAAGAGTTCAAGGTCTCTTACAGAGAATGGAAAGAAATTCGTCCTCTAACATTTGTTGTAGTATTGTTGGGAATAATGATCTTCTCGCATGGCCCAAGTTTGAGCATCAATACTTGAGTTATAACACTCGCACACACTCTATTCAAAGGGTACGAGGACCATGGAATAACAAAATACTACCTTATAGCACCAGTCATCCTGTCCGACATGTATCGAGCTTTGTGAAAGTGTAAAGAGGGGCATTGATACTTCCAAGGATGCAACCCACTCCTTCAGTGGTGGATCCTTAATCACTTGGCAAAGGGCGCTGGGACTCAGAAGCTACATACTCTCGACAACAAAAACACCCTTAGAGATTTGAATGACATGTTGTACTGGGTAAACATGGATAATAGGAGAACAAGGGGAGAATGGTCTCAGATTCTCTCCAAATTGAGAGAAGAAGATCTCCAATGGATGCTTGACCGCTTTATCTCCAAAGAAGCCGTCGTGGAGAGCCTCAGACAGATTTTGCTTCCTCTATCAGGTATTCCGAGAATTCTCCCTTACGCACCCTTTCGAGTCTTGCGACAGTTTGGGAGGAGACAAACTGTACCTAAAGAGGCATACTATGGTGCTTATGTATACGATATTGGAGACGACAGGGTGCATGACACATCTGAAATGTTCAGAGAATGGAAAAGTGCCTAGCGGATGGATAAAACTACCATCACCTCTGACCGATTTAATGTTGGATATGATGAAGGTTACAAAAATGGTTGAAATAAGACATACAAAGTATATCTTCCCCAACCCCGCGCAACTTTCGCAGCATAACAGACAGAGAAACCAAAGCAGTGGCCGAGCTACAAGAGGTAAAGAGGACAAGGAAGTGTACACTAAGTTTGTCGAGAACCAAGATACTGTTGAGAAGGAGACTCAAGAGGTGGAAAGACTAAGGCGTGGTTATGATGATTTTGATACCTGGCTCAAGGAGAATCCGATACAAAATCTTGGAAGACAAAGGACGTCTGGTTGAAGGATTCTTGTTGATGCTAAGATATATGTTTCAGCAATACAAGACTCAAGGGGACGGCGACGGAGCAGGACCATCAGGTACATCATAGTGGATTTCGCCCCTGTATGGGTTTTTATCTGTATTTATGTTATTTTTAGCCCCTGCGTAGACCTGCCTTTATTGCACTTTCAAATGGCCCCTGCGTGAGTTTTCTTTAATGTTTTATCTTTTATTTCCCCTTTGTGAACAGTACTATTCACTTGTGAAATTTAGTTTTTAGGGAATTGTTTATTTGATTCAAATTCACGCGTACATCAATCAAATGTGCTAGGCCTACCTTTGGCACAAAAGGTTCCTCCTGCATGTGTTAGGACGCGATATATGTGCTATTAATTGCTTATGTGTTATGTTTCTACGAATTAAGATACTGGAAATCCACTCCATTCAAGAAATTTCCAAAATATACAAACAAGTCACCATTACAAAAAAAACGTTCGACTAAAATTTCCAAGTCTTAAGTTTCTCACCCAAAAGACCACCTCCTATACCACAAATCTTGAAACACTATTCTACCGTCACAGGAAAGGGAAAAATCACTGCTATGGACAAAGGTAAGAATATCCATATGGAACTGACTGGAGAAGAACTACCAAAAAGGATCGAACAAATCACTCGGGAAATTCAAGAGGCCAAGGAGGGAGGGATTAGAGTCGACATGGCCACCACAATTTACAAAGCTGCAACCGTGACGCTAGATGAGGATCTGACATCACAGATGAAGAGAAAGAAGAGTGTGGAGATGGAGATAGAGGACTTGCGAGAGAAGTTGGACATGCTTCGGTTGAAAGTGTAAGAAAAAGAAGCGAGAGAGTCAAGGATAGATTCGGAAACCACCGCTCTATTTTCTAAAGGCGTGTCACTTGATGAGGAGCTGAAAGTGGAAATGGAAGAATTCACCTCAATGAGTGAAAGGATGGCCGCGCTAAGGAAGAAGAGCAAAGCCCTCCATAGCAACATGGTTTTTAAACTTGAGAGAATGCGTGAAAAATACGCGTCTACGAGCGGGAAGCTAATAGTGGTACTGATAACGCTTACCCCGGAGTGACTGGGGAAGACGAAGATGAGGAAATCGTCTACAAACCTCCATTCCTGGGCCGTCTGAAAGAAGGAGACTAATGCTGCAACATGAAGGAAAATGACTAACGTGTCTTCATCATTTTATCTTTAATAAGCTCTATTGTTGCCTTTGAATTTCCTTGTAAGCGTAATGAACAAATGAATGAAAATGTTTTATCTTGTACTCGAACTACGTTGGGCCTGAATTCTCCTTGTGAGATACGTAGGCAACCTTCCCAGGCCCGGCTCCTATCTTTAAAAATTTTAATC